AGTGGAGGAGCTGGATATATTCTACTATTCTTTTTTTTCTGAAACCTAGTCCACCTCGCTGCATAATTTCATATACCCCACTCCGGCACTTGTCTTGGGTATAATTATTAATGAGTGTCGGTGCTCCAAACTGTTGTTTTGAGAGAAAACAACTTTGCATGGTCCGACTGAGATTCTGATATTGTTTACCTACTGGCCACGTGCAACTGGCCTGTTTTTGGCTTTCAGCCACCGCCAAGTTTGAGGAGATATGTGGAACTGAAGTGCAATAATGTATGATCAGAGTGTATCATGTTCTAACACACTGGTTCGATTGTGCTACTAGTACGTCACGTCACGTGTTTTTTTAGCCTAATAAGGAACCGGCATACTACGCTCGGTTGCAAGTTGTCACTGCATGAAACATCCCGTGATGCACCTGTTGATTTGAGAAATCAGTGGGACATCAATTATCTAAACTATCTGACTAGCTTTTGCATCGTTTCGCGCCTAACAGGTCTTGTTTGACTTGTATTCAACATCCCTCTTCACACAATGGGAATAGTGGATAATATACTGCATAAGGCGCATGTTACACTCATAATCAGCAATTAGTTACTGCATCTGCAAATCTACTTTTATAGTTTTTTTGCTTGGTGGAACTTCTAGTTCCACATCCCGACTGGATGGTAGGTGAACCATCTGGAAGGATCAATATTTTTTGCTGCTTTCCGATTAACCTTGCGATATTTGTTTTTGTTCTCCACCTCTCATCATTATCGCCATTGTAGATGGGTGATCAGGCTCACCCTGGTGGCATTCCTCCCTACCCTACTGGTCAACCGGGCTATCCAGTAGCTTCCGGAGGTCAGCCACCCTATCCCACGATGAATACGACAGCACCACAACCGGGTGCCAATTGGGCACCAGGAGCACCTGGGAGCGGTTGGGGTGGCCAAAGTTCACCTCCACCACCCTATCCGGGTTCATAACAACAATCACAGAAACTGACTTGTTGGTTCCAGAACAAGTAATCAGATTGTTTGACGTGAGTTCACTCTTGATGTTTCATTACATTGAATGCTGAATAATAGAAACGGTCAGGAGAACCTATTATTCATTCACGATAACCGGTAACATAGAATCAGAGACTTGAAATTCCCGCCCGTCAATCCTACTATGCGCTTTTCGGGCGGGGCTCCCATGGTTTTCAATAAATTTGGTTGCTCAACAAAGTCGATACACATTCATCTAACAATTCCTACGAGTAGATGATTTACCTAATCCTGGGTAGTTTTAAATGTGTTTTCTGACTTTAATAGATGAGCTAACAACCGGTAGCTCGTCGCTCTCGTTTTTGTATTAGAAATTGTCCTCTCGTTTTCTCATTTTAGTGAAACCACCCGCCATGATAGGGTATTGAATATTATTTCCTTAGCAGAAGTCGATAAGCCAATGGTGAAACGAGTCCAGGGCGATGAATCCATGTACCGAAAATACCCTACATCGATTGTACTGCGGCTTTTCAAAGACAGCTTGGTTGGAAATCATGAACAGAATCCACGAGTCATTGTCTAATTTTTTTCTCTCACTGATATCATATGATGTTCCAGTGTCATTGTTTGTTTGCTTGTTTGTGTGCGCGAATGGGTGGATGCCTGTATGCGCTCGCTTACCAATGACACTTGAAGAAAATGCTAATTGGATTTTGGTTCAAAAAGTATCGAGGATATTTGCAACTGAGGGGATTATTTCACGCGCATAATTGAAGTGCGATTTGTTTTCACTTCCTCCACCCATAGAAGCAGAAATCAAGTCGGCATTCGTGTTATCCGGATTACCAAATGTCGTGCAATAAATGCTGTCCTACCAAACATCCATTGGCTGTTTCAGTCTGTTTGAGTGAGCGAGCAAGTAATTGAGGCTAGAAACAGCGCAACACGTCAAAGAACCGCCTGTCACATGTTCACATATATTTGGCACAACTTACCATATGCCACTTATAGCACTACAAGATACCAGCTAAGTTTGATAGAACACGATGAAACCCGACGGTTTTACGCACAATCCGCCTGCTCGTGCTTAGTTTGAAGGCCACTTCATGTTTACTCATCCCCGTTCTGTGAGTGATTCAAGTTAATCGCTGCCAAACTCAAAATGAACCCGGGGGTGATTAACAAAGCAATCGAATTATGAATCAGTGCATCGTGTAGCAGCGTTTGAATCGATGAATGACTCAATGTCGTTCAGGTGCGCTTTCCGACCATTGCCTATGAAAAACAGCACATTGCTGACTCTGACCATACAGTTCTTTCTGTTTTGCGCTATTCCTCCACTCGTGTAAGGCGTACGTGGTTCGTGACAGACGTAACATCTCCGAGCTGCTGAAGTATTCGGTCCCTTGTGACATATTCTATCTCTAGCATCCATCATTTACCCTACATCCACGTGCAAATCCAGAAATCCGAGGCATACATCAGTGAACACATCCTGGAAAACTGCTCCACAGGAGTGCCAATGCAGGTTGGGATTAGTCGAGATCCTAAACGTCAAATACTCCTGAGAGATAGAAAGGGATACTGACAAAGTACTGAAAATCGGTTCTCGTAGCTCGGATGAACTGAATTCTACTTCGCCTGTTCGCCGAGCTTGGCGATTTGTTTGCAAACAGCCGGGGTGACAAGCTCGGCGAATAGGCGAAATGGAAGAAGAGATAGATTTCCTAATCTAACGGTTATGTAGGAGATCTACTCAATCAAGGTATACATAGGCGACAAGTTTGTATCCACATGTACGGATTGGTAAATGACCTCTTAGGGAGGTACCAGCAACCGTGTCGAACACGGTTCAAACTTGGTTGGGTGGAGGTTAGAGGTGCACCCTCGCACAAATGCCGAATGACAATGTGGACTTCTTTAATGATGCTGCATTTGTTGTATCTATCTATGTGTGTGTGTGCGAAAACTGTTGAAGCAGTAGTCGAGTTCAATTTCGTTCGTTCAATTTCTGTTATATTGGTTCTGTAAGATACACATCTACTC